AAAAAAAAAAGGTTGGAATTCCCAAAAAAAAAAAGCATCAGGCTTCTTGGAGAAGCTTTCCCATTTTTTTTTTATTATAAGTATAAGTCGGACAAAATTAATGAAAATATAACGAAAAAAGTAACAGAGATGACGGAAGTATAACGAAAGTTAGAAGTAAGGGCTATTTTCTTCTATTTTTATAAGTTAGGGGCTAAAACCGTTATATTATAAAGTAAGAAGTAAAATCGTCAAGGTAAGGGGCTATTTTTAGGCTTTTACCATTTGATAGCTAAGGGGCATAGCCTATAGTAGCTGTGACTTAATTTTAAGCTGAAGCTTATATATATCTCTTCCCTCTCGAGAGCCGTTTTCAAAGACAAAATTTTGAAGTCTTTAATTATTAAAACAAAACAAAGAAAATTTCATAACCAAATACACACTATAATTTTGTGTAAATTATAAGTTAAAGTTGATTTAATTGATTACAAAATTATTTAAACTATGTTAAAATTATAATTTGAAATTTGTTAATATTTATTATTTTTTAAAGGTGAAATCTTTCTTAATATTTATGGACAATCATATTAAAAATCTAAAGCACCTAGCGGATTGGGGTTAGGGGACTATTTTGAAGGAATCATGTGCTTTGAGACTAAGTGGTACATATAAGGGAAAGACATGACAAAGATTTATCCGTCATAACTAATGTCAGGGGTTTGGGAATAGTCAACCTCTTTGGTAAGATATTTCTTTCCCCCCACCCCCTCCCCTCCCCTCCCCTCCCACCTATGTCACATCTTCCAGTTTCTTTTTTCTTATATTTTTATCCAATCCATTTATCCTAAAATTATTATTATTTTTTAATAATTTAGGTTTTTAATTTTTTTTATTATTAAAATATTATAAATCGTGATGTAATTAAATTATACGAAATTAAATTTTAATGGATAATTTTATAATTATATTAAATATCATGTGCTCTTTATAAAAGATACAGTCAGAATCAGAAAGCTCTAAAATGAAGTTTTTAGTTTTATAGATAAAATTATTGTAGATCTGTTGTGGTTTTCTATCGCTTTTAGAAAAAACAGTTTAAAAAAAAATTATCAAACACACATATATCTAAAATTAATGTGTGATTACACAAAAAAACTTACAATCGCAATCCCAAACACATCCTAAATTTAAAATTGTTAAAAGTGTTTCTGTTGGAGATTTAAGCCCCCATCAGCCAAAACCACGTCATTTTGCTTGGGGATTCCTTTTTTCTAAAAAAAAAATTAAAATTGATTTGTATCAGTTTAATTTCAGTGTACTAGTTAATAAACAAAATATCAATTCGTATACCAAAAATTGACTAAAACATCCAAAATTTAACCAAAACTAAATTAAAACTTGTATTGTTTGAATTAATAGACAAATTGGTACGTACTGGCTGGAAACAGTATTAACTCCCTCGTACATCCTACAAATTAAATTACAAGAAATGCATTAATTTTATCAATTTTAAAATTTTGAAGACATAAAATCTTTATATTGTTATATCTTTAAGGTTATTATTTTTTTTATAATTTAGGTTGTATTAAACTATAAAAAAAAAAAAACCTTTAAATAGAAGAATAACCCTTAATATCATAAGGGTTTATTTCTCATCTAAGAGTTAATTTAGTGTAAATCTAATATAATCTAAGTCATACTAAAAACTTTAATACCATTATAAATTTTTACAAGTTATAACTTGTAAGTTATTCTGAACATCTAATAAAAAAAAATAAAACTTATAACTTATTCTTTAAAAATTTATGAATTTTATGTTTAAAATTGAACATCTGCAAATAAAATTTTTAGATTTTTAGTACCTTCCATTTATTCTTTACTTTTATTTTTTTTTATTGTTATGCTTATCCAAAGATAAAAATATAGATCTTCAAATAAAATTTCAAATTTTCAATAACTCCCATTGATTCTTTGTTTTTTTCTTTTTCCTTTGATGTAGGATATTCCATTTATTCTTTACTTCCTTAGACAAGTGAAATATATAAAGATAACAAAATATCATCATTCCTTAATCCCTTAATGAAAAAGATTGAACCACGGAGTATTAATTTTTTTAATCTTAAAATTACTCTGTAGTATGTAGTATAATCTCCAAAAAAAATAAAAATAAAAATTTCGGTAAGGTAAAAGTTAAGAGTATAATAAATATATAATTGTTATTATAAATTTGCATTAAAAAATTGATATTTTTTTATTGATCATATAATTAAATTTATATATTTTACAATAATATTAAAATTAATGTTAATTTTATAATTTTTAATATATATTTATAAAAAAAATTAAACTTCTGTCCAACATAAGTTAAAAAAAAAAAAAATTTCTGTAGTAAAGTTGAAAAACGGTAACAGAATTTATCCTCCTCCCAAACGCGCCCTCCGGTTATTAAACGCTCTTAAACTGAAACCCTTCCATTCCATCTCTCCCGTTCTCTTTTTGGTTTTCTCCCTTTTCGATACCCTTTTCCTCAGTCAAACATCAAAATTCCTCTTTTCTCTCCTAGCCCAGATGAGGCTGACCAACTACAAGCGCCTTTCCAATACCGCCGTCAAGCTCTACCTTTTTAAATGACGAAGCTTCCTTCCGCCTTCGTCATCACCGTCGCCGTCACGTTCTTGCTCCTCTCCGTAGACTACTTCTCCTTCCCGGTGGTCCATGCCTTGGGAGGCTCTGGCTCCACCATCGCCGTCAGCTACGGTACCGCCACTGTCTGCGCCATCCAGGCGGCGCAACCGACCACAAGCATTATCTGCCAACGACGTGGCGATGGCGCCAGCCAGCTTGTCCCTCTCCAGCCCAACGTCTCTTTCACTTCCATCGCCGGCGGTAGGACGTCAATCTGCGCCATTCGTTCCGGCGGCTACAGCCTCATCTGCTGGGACACCCAAAATTCCAGCTTCCCCTTTAAGCGCATATACAATAACAACACTGTACTATTGCAGAGTTTGGCCATCGGCGATGAGCAGATTTGCGCCACCACTAATGGCACCCCATCTGTAATATGCTGGAGAGGTAACCGCAACATTCAATTACCCGATAATCGTTACAAGTTTGATACAATCTCATCTGGGTTTGGATTCTGCTGTGGGATTACCGCCGATAATGGCAGAATCCGTTGTTGGGGAAGTAATTTAATCGGAAAAGCAATCGAGCAAGAATTTGGGGATATGTCAATGGTGAGTCTTGCGGCAGGAAGTTCACATGTATGTGGGGTCAATTCCACCGGCGACATAGTCTGCAATGGGGCGAACGACTCCGGGCAGCTAAATGTGCCTTCAAACGCTGGTCTAGAGAATGCTTACGGGTTAGCGCTGGCAGAGGGTTACAGCTGCGCGATTCGGAGATCAAATCAGACGGTGGTTTGTTGGGGCCGGTTTGCAATGAATGGGACGGTTTCATATGAATTCATTGTTTCCGGTTCTAATTTTACCTGTGGATTAATGTCGAGTAATCTTTCAGTGGCGTGTTGGGGACCCGGATGGGTTAACGTATCAAACTCAGAAACCGAGTTACCATTACCGCAGATTCTACCAGGTCCCTGTGTTCAATCTTCGTGTAGTGCCTGTGGAACATTTCCGGATTCAGATAGGCTCTGTTCGGGTTTGGGCAATATCTGTAATCCCTGTTTTAAAATCACCACTCCACCACCGCCCCTGCCCCCATTAGCACCAGCACCAGCATCAACACCAAAACCGTCTCCGTCGCCTCCTCCTGGAGGGTTGACGAGGGGTTTATTGGCTTTTGCCATTGTTGGATCGGTAGGAGCTTTCATGGGAATTTGTTCAATTATATACTGTTTGTGGACTGGAGTCTGTCTTGGGAAAAAGAAAGTGCACAATTCAGTGCAACCAACAATCACCAGAGGCGGTTCAAATGGCGGCGCAACTTCAAACAGTAGCCCGCCGTCGAGGTCATTGACGATCAGGCGCCAGAGCTCCAGAGCAATGAGGCGCCAGAGAAGCGGAACGTCGTCTAAACATCCAGACAAAGCAGAGGAATTTACCCTGTCTGAGCTTGCAGCCGCCACCAACAATTTCTCATTGGAAAACAAGATCGGGGCAGGAAGCTTCGGTGTGGTATACAGAGGAAAACTCTCCGATGGTCGTGAAGTGGCGATCAAAAGAGGCGAAACAGTTCACAAGACGAAGAAGTTCCAGGAGAAAGAAAGCGCATTTGAATCAGAATTGGCGTTCTTGTCCAGACTACACCACAAGCACCTGGTGAGGCTTGTGGGGTACTGTGAAGAACGGGATGAGCGGCTTTTAGTCTATGAATTCATGAAAAATGGAGCTCTTTACGACCATTTACATGACAAGAACAACGTTGAAAAGAGCAGTGGTGTGTTGAATTCGTGGAAAATGAGGATCAAGATTGCATTGGATGCTGCTCGAGGAATCGAATACCTTCATAATTATGCAGTTCCTCCTGTAATTCACAGGGACATCAAGTCTTCCAACATATTACTTGATGAGACTTGGACAGCAAGAGTGTCTGATTTCGGGTTGTCTTTGATGGGGCCGGAACCAGACAAGGATATCAGGCTGATGAAGGCTGCCGGAACAGTAGGTTACATAGATCCGGAGTACTATGGTCTCCATGTTTTGACAGCAAAGAGTGATGTGTATGGACTAGGAGTAGTGATGCTGGAACTTTTGACAGGGAAGAGGGCAATATTCAAGCAAGATGAAGATGAGGGAACGCCGGTCAGCTTGGTGGATTTTGCGGTGCCGGTCATAATGGCAGGAGAATTGGTTACGATTTTGGACCGGAGAGTGGGGCCACCGGAGCTGAATGAGACAGAGGCGGTGGAGCTGATGGCATATACAGCAATGCATTGTGTAAATTTGGAAGGGAAAGATAGGCCAACCATGACTGACATTGTTGCTAATTTGGAGAGGGCATTGACTATTTGTTCTGATGATAGCTATGGCAGCATCTCCAGTCCTTCAATCTCAATTGTTTCTGAGTGAATTTCTAACTGTCAAGCCCCCAAAAAGATTAATTTTTTTTTTAAATGATTTATCTAGGTATAATTGCCTTTCTAAGTTAAGGAATTTTCATGTTCTAACATTGAGCTGTGGTGTATGATTTTGAGAACACACTGACAGCAAGGAGAATGATTACATGATTTTGTTCTGGTTTAACTCTTTCTTTTCCTGTTCCCCTTTTCGCTTTCTTTTTCTTTATTATTAACCTGTATGGATACAAATTAATTTCCTCTCAAGCCTTTTCTTTTTTTTTTTTTTTTATTTGTAGGACATAACAAGTAGTTCTATTGGTGAGTGGAGAATGGATTATATAGGTTCAAACTAGGTTCAAACTCTTACTGATGAGTGAAGAAATCTTTTAAATTTAGAAATTTAGTTAATAAATTGAAAATTTTTCATTTTTTTCTCAAATTTTTAATTACTAACTTCTTCTCAAACTCTTAATTATTAACTATCGAGAGAGTTTGATACGTTCCTTAGGAATCCACATAAATGTTCTTATTCTTCTATTTGTTTCTCTCCCCTCTCCCCACAAGCATGGGGAAGAGATGAATGGAGTTGGGTTTTTTTGACCATATGGCTTCATTTCACACCAAACAAATGAAGATATAAATTAAGGATCCTGTGCCTTTTTTTTTTTTGGTTTGATTATAATAATAAGAAGGAACATGGATGGTTCGGTACATGAAAATATTCAGAAATGATCTATACTTTTGATAAAAAAGAATTTATCACTTTTAGAAAAAGGTGGTCAGTGGGATTAGGTCAAGGAAAAAAAAAATGAAATGATTCTTGTTAAGTTTGAAAGTTACCATTTTTTTTTTTAGTAAATTTCATTGAATTGAGCGGTGCCTCCAAATTAATTTCAAAACGTTATTCTCTGTTGTGTGAATGGGAGTTAATAGTGCTCATGAATTAGGGGTCAATTTTAGTGAGACTAAATGCTCTGAGAGAAAACATAATGGATGGTGGCCTGGCCGGTGACCCACCTCCTCCTTCTATCGATATTTATTTGAGGTGTCTAGACAAGGAGAAAATGGCCGGCAATTTTCCAGAAGAGGATATATCATGATTCACGAAGGGGACTCTCACCAAATTGCCACTGTGCATGTGCAAATCCAATTCAACGGCTGTGGATTCGCAATAAATTCACATGAGGGTTTCCAATGAATTCTACAACAAAAATAATCATTTGTCACAATAAAATCATGCAACAGGATCGCACGTAGTTTTTATTATTAATTTTTTTTCATTTGAGTAATCAGATCTGTTAGTTGGTATATATTTATTTGTTTAATATTTTACAACTATTATTATAATTTATTGTTAGGTTATTATTAAGGGATTATTTTTTTATTTTTTATATAATTTTTACATATTGTTAAATAAATGAATTTATTTAATATCAAAAATTATTCATAAATTATTTTCTTTACTGTTAATAAACTTTGGCAAGGAATCATTCTCAATTCTACAATGAACCGTGGGAATCCAATTTTCCAAAATTGGTGGGTAGCAGCCTTCTTTAATGGGCCAAAGCCGGCAATTCCCCTACTTTTCATGGAAAATTTACAGTGGAGTTGGTACCGAGCATTTGATTAATAATTCATCTTTTTTGGGGTATAAATCCAGACAAAGTAAATCTTTATCAGTTGTCCACAAATTCGCAATATCAATGGTTTCGATTTCAAATTCGCAATATCAATGGTTTCGATTTCAAAGTATGAGAAGAATTTTCAAATTGAGGAAACTGAGACTGCAACTAATTAGTCTCAAACTGCAGGTCCCAATGCCATTAAAGAAGTAGGGGAAATGTCAAACATGTGGCAACCGAGACATTTGAAATTAGCCCCAACTCACTGCAAGTTCTTATGAAGCCACCAAAACGAACCCTACCTAAGAGAAACTCAAAGAATTATCAAGATCAAACAGTAAGGATTTTGAGTGTTACATTTGATTCTAAACTATATAATTGGAATAGTTATTATTTCAATTCTCTTGTCACCTATTTTAAACTTTGAACTTAAAATTTCTAACAACGAAGTTCAAACTGCTCTTATAAGAGATGGAAGAAAAAGATGTGAGCACTCCTTTATTAAGAACGAAAATTTTGCAAGCATCCAAGGGATACCCAAGTATGACTAGGGGTTTGTTTGATTCGCAAAAATAACATTCCATAGAACATTTTCAGCATTTTTTGGTGTTTTCCATACACAAGGAAATGTGTTAAATGAAATTTTTTTTAAAATCAATGGAAGTCAAAAATGAGAAATGTTTGGGAACAATTTCCCCTCTTTGAAGTGGAGTTGGGGGATAAAAAATGAAGGTTTAGGGTAAATGTTGTCCCTGTCATAAAGGCTGAGGATCATAGATGCTTTTCTACATTAATTTGCCCTGAAAATGGAAACTAACAAGAAACTGTTTTGTGCAATCAAACCAAGAAAGCCAAGATTACTTAACGGGGGAAAAAAGAAATCATACAGTGTGCCTATTTACATATGAAGTAGAACAATGTTAAAATAAGATTTCTCACCGCTCCTTGCATTACTAAGTGCAAACACAGCCAGTTTCCCACAACCTCCCACAAACTGCAGAGCAGCTGTTATTATGGTGTATCACACAGCAAACAAGAATTAAAATACTGCATATGAGAATAACATCACGCAGTTTGATGGCTGCTTCATGAGATTATTAAACGAAATCAAAGTGCACAAGGAGCTTAACAGATTTGTACTTCTCTCCTGTGCGACTGTACAAGGGAACTGCTCGGATCCCTCTTCTTAGCTCTGAAACAGGCAGGCAAGTTTGGCCTCCAAAGTCATCTTTTTCAGACATGTCATACTCATGAACTTCTATCCGAAGCAGAGCCAGTTCTGGAATGGTGAGAGGGAACTCAAAATCGTCATTCCAAGCAGGGATCCAGTTGTCCTCTAAAATCTTTGTTTTCTTCATCACACAATCAGCTGGAACCCCAGCAATACCAACCTGGACAAAGATAATCAAATTCCAGTTAAAGATCTCTTAACTTCTTATTCAATTGGACATGAAATGAGAAACCACTAAGTGACGAAAGTATGTTCTACCTGTGAGCATCAGAATGATGAGACAGATTATATACTTACCCTTGCATAGAAATCTGGGGGGGAATATGCATCAAAGTGTGTGTGTTTGAAGTCAAAATACCATCCTTCTCCCATATACACAGTTACCTTTAAAAAGTAGGAAGAAGACCATAATCATTTACTGAAATATTATAAGAACAACTTAATACAAGTTTTGTCAAAAATAAGCCACAGTAATAAAAGCACTCACCTTTAAAGTTTTTTTTACCGGTAAACTCACTCTTGGATCAAATACCTCACCATTTGAATCAGCCTTCAATAGAAAATCAGGTTTTTTCACGTAACCACACCCACCATTGGCTTTGAACATCCCATGCATCAGCCACAATGATCTTCCATGACCCTAACAAAAAGGAAGCCATTTATATTATTTGGCAACCTTCTGATAAAATTACAATCATGGATTGACTTAAAAGGAAAAGAATACAAGCAACTGATGAAATTCTTTAAATAAACATCTCTTATTTCCAGCGTAGCAGTACATCTTACCCAATGATTGAATCACAAACATAAAAAGGTAAAAACCAAGGATGCCTGAAGTGCATAAAGATGTCATCTGTCTTTGTATTTAAAAAGAAATATTTCAATTAATTTTCATTACTTGTCAGAAAAATATTACTTGCTCATAACAGGTTTCATAATAGGGATTTAATTTGTTTTAGTTTCAGAGGCATGTGCTCCATCCATCATTGTTGTATTGAGAGACATTCATGTCTTAACAAAAATGAACTGAAACCTATAATTTTTAGTCTCGTTATGCTTTTGTCTATTTGAGATGAATACAAATCAAGTGCATGAATGATCACATTACTACAGGGAACTCCTATTGAGCAAATATCAGCTATCCATCCTTGAACATTTCAAACCATGAGGTATAACAATAAGAGATTAGGAGGATATAAAAGCACAATCACACTTAACAATGTAACTGCTCATTAGCTGTGCCATTCGCACTATATATAGATGACATAAAGAAACTTCTATCTACTGGCCACAAAAAAAGAAACTACTATCTGGGACAAAAAGGGGGAAAACAAAGGAAAAGCAAACCTGCATATTAAATGCAACCATTTGAGCTCCATGCATCCACCCAATCATTGGATTGTAGTTTGATGAATCCACACGTATACCCTTGGGGTACACCCTAAGCAAATTACGCTGGGTGAACCTGTAGCAAGAAAAAAGATAAGAACTTGGAAACTACGAGGTTCAAGCCAAAGCTACATCAATCTTTGAATACATAGACAAAAGGATCTCTTGAAGAACAGCTAAAGTTCTTGAGCTCCAGCAAACCTTTCATGACTACCTGACAATTTGTTTTCCATGAGTTAGTGCAGCCTTTTCAAGTTTCTGTTCACTTAAGCTAAGACGTCTAACTTTATCAGGATCCACCCTTAGACAATCCTCCAATCCACCCTTCGGCTTCCCAGCAGGAATACCGATCAAATGCTTATATTCTGGTGCTACAGGCTGTGTCTTATCTCCATCCTCAAAATCTTCATCATCGTTTTTATCTTCTTCATCCAAATCAACCTGTCATATAAAGGTAATCAGAGTGTAAATGATCATTTTGTATGACATACAAAAGCAAATGCAATATTGCCCAACATCTCTAAGGTTTGAGTCAGACACCTTGTTTTCAGCTACACTACTGACTTTAAGGTCTGGAACTTCTTTCCCCCAAGCTTCTTCATCATCTGAAGCCTTTCCCTTCAATGAAGTGCTTTCTTTATCTTTAAGCTCTTTGCCCTCAAGGTATTCTTTTGGTGGTTTGGTTGATATAATAATCCGTCTCTTCAACGATTCCGGTGAAGGGAATTCCTTTAAGCATTCTGAGCGAGGAGAAAACAGTATGTCTCCAAAAGTTTGAGTGACCATCTAGAAATCAACCACATAATGGTAAATTGTGGGATCATTGGAGCTCTAAATTACCAGAAGTGTGCAAAGACTCACCTGTGCAACTTTGGCCTGAAGATCTGGGGTAAGATGGTCTTCTAGAGTTATAACAACCGGGTATTCTGATTCAACAAAGGCATACTCCTTGATAGACTTCAAACATTTAATAAGTTCCACAGGAGTAGTCAAAGTCCTGCACAAAGAACCCAAATTCTTGGTTAGGAGCAGAAAACTGATGTTTCATAGACACTTTTGCACATTTTAATGCATACCTTCCATGAAGAACATCCACATTATCTTTTGTGGCATTAGGCCATATATCCAACTCTATGACTCTCACGCCTTTCTTAAGAGCATTTATGATGGGTACATCACTGCAGTCACTACTAAGTTGATTCCCCGTAAGATAGGAGTTATGGCCAGTATATATAAAATAATGAGACAGTGGAGCAGCCATGTCATGATGTACCTGAAAGCAGTGAAACCGAAGAAGTAATCACAATATAATAAAAGATAACTGACTCAGTAAAGCGCAAGCTAATTCTCCCTATTTACTTTACTACTTCCTAGAAGGGAAATTCTAAACATCCCACCAGAACAAAAGTGAGACTCAGTGCCAAGTCACACTTCTAAGTGAATCAGTGCATCATACAGAACTCAACATTTCCAGATTATTGCAGTGGTGCTAGCAATAGCACATTCTAAGATATGCAAATTGAAGCCTTACAAATAAGGAAACAAATTTAACACTTGTGAAAGGTATAAAAATGAATACTTACATAACTTCAGCTGGAATTTCATCAAGTAATTTTGCACTTCAGACAGCAGTTGCAATCAAATTGAAATTGTCAGATTTCTTTTAAAAAAAACCCTCACTTGTACGGAAATAAAGAAAAGACAACCCACGGAAAAAGATCAAAGTTTCCAAATTTAAAGGATCTTCACCAATCCCATGTTTTTTCAGACAAATTTTACAAAACCCAGTATAAGAACTTAACTCCCTACATGACATCCAGCGCCAGAACACAGAACTGGGAAATAAGACAAAAAGGGGAATAATCCAACAACAATAACAAAAGTTAACTTAGAGAAGTAAAAATTACCGCAGGAGATGGAGAGAGAGGAGGGTTATCTTCACCGAACAGGTACTTGAAGAAACCTTCGAGATTGAGACCATTACGGTGAAAATGCTTGACGCTATTGATGATACTCTGAGCATCCTCTCTGGAGGCTTTATCCTCTTTTTGAACCTCAATTAAGAATCTCCGAAGTTGATCAACACTCATGATCCCATTCTCCGAGTACTGCTCGAACAGCGTCTTGATCTCCTCCGGCGCCTCCGACACGGTCAGCTTGAACCGCCGGCGGAAGCAGAAGCATACTCGGTAAGTCTGTTTGGACGTCATGACCGTGAACGCTGGAACTCCAATTCACCGAGTACGGGAATCTACAAAGAAGCAAGAGACGTGTTTCTCTGAGATGAGAGCACCGCCGTTTGACGTTCTGGTATCTGCTTTCAGTTTCCCTGAGCGTTTACGGTTGGGATGATGAAATGAAATTTTAATAAAGAGGGCCGGAAGTGTCCAGAATGATTGGGGGGTGGACGGATAGGGGACCAGATGTACAGAGGCATCGGTATATAATTTTGTTCGGGATTTTCGGCTTATCCTTTGTATTGAGGAAATTGCATTGACCCCATGTAGTTTCAAACAGATGTTCTTCACCCCACAATCACAAAAAAATCAAGCATTTAACAACCTTACGG